AGACAGAAATACATCCTCGCTTCCTCGTGCATTTCCATAGTGGAGTGCTAGTCGGGACAATTAATTCAGCTTGCGCCGCGCCGCCGCTAATTCCTGCCGCCTCCCACGGATGGTGTGGTTTTCTTCCTCTGTCCAGAGAGTTCGGGAGCCGCGCCGTAACGAGTCGCGGCGACCCGACCGCAGGCTCCGCGGGGCGCGCATAGGGCAGGCGTACGGCGGGCGCAAGGAGCCGTACCCAAACCACGTGACGGGTTTTTGGCGGATTTGGACCCCCCCCCTCCCCCTTGTGACATCATCAAAGCTCTGAAAGATTACCTGTCGCGTATACCGCTCCGCCGCCGCGGTCCCTCGCGTCGTCGAGAAGTCCCCCGCCACCAACTGGGACGCCATCTGACCGAACACCCACCCGCATCCAAGTCATCCACGTCGACGCGCAGGAGAGCTGGTGGCTGCTGGTGGTTGGTCGCCACGCGGCACCGCCTCCGCCACCGGTGCAACAGTGCAACAGAGCCCCATCCAGGATGCGCCCGCACTGCAACGTCCCGGACGTGCTTGCTTTATGGGCTAACGTCCTGCAGAGGCAGAGGCCGGGGGCATTTCGAGATGGGTGAGGGCGGTGAGGGCTATCCTGACGAGGACTCTCCGGGTACGGCCGTGTCATCACCAAACATCCTTCTTGCATGCGGCTGCACTCAGGCGTCGGCAAAATCGGCCTCAGAAAGCGCATTATTCGCACTCTGGCTAGCGCTGGCGAGTGGCGATATCTCTGCGGCATTTGTTTATTTATTAGCAGCGCTGCTGGCGGCCGATCAGTGAAACAACAACGAACAACGGCCAGCGTTTGGAACTAACTCAAGCACTCCACTCCTCCAAGTGTTGTCGACCAGGAGGGCGGGCCATCCAGACCAGAGAAACCGTGTCCAGGCCAGACCGGCGAACTTGATCCTTGATCGATCTATTACTTATTGCCTTCACATCCACCCGTATTGCTGTACACGATCATTCCGTAAGTTGTATCTATTTCCTAGTTCTGCTTTAGCTAGTGCGGACATAAACATAACCTAAAAGAGGCTCTTGTTTACCCACGCAAATTGATTTTATTAGGACGAGGTAGGACCTAGAATGACTCAATGGGACTTGGATAGGTTCAATAAATAATTACAATATGTGACAATTTGTTCGTCTTGAGGAGGAACTAAAATCATACCGTCCCAGAACACGGTTTTGTCTAAATGACATCAAGTGTTGTCAGTATCAAAATTTTGTCATTTCTGTGGCCTGATTAGACTTATTCATTTTGATATCACATGCCATTACGTGATTTCTGTCAAATTGACGTCAAGCGTGTTCTCTAGCGTGAGTGACGGTTTCGCGTACGTAGGCGGAGATGTTTTTTTGTACTATGTCCTCGACTGACGCCTCGGCTTATCTAAAATTACTGTCCATCTGCGCTGCTTTGTTTGGGGGATCGTCTCGTTCTGTATGGTCTGTGCAAACAATTCCTGGCCGACCGGTGCGCGAAGTGCTCGCTTGAAGACGATCGTCAGGCCTCTCTGTCCGCATTCTCATCCGTCCGATCCACTTTTCGTGGTCGATGCCCCCCCCCCCCCCCCCCGTCCCCTTTTTACCCTCCAACGGCCATAGGAATACGCGTTACATACTCCTGAAATCGGCTGCTTCACTCGACTGACAGACCTAGTTTCGGACAGAGGCCATATAGGTCATCTTTAGCAGGGGTGTGTCCGAATTCTTGCCGGAATTGTACGGCCACGGCCCGACCCACGCTCTCCTTGTCGCGATCTTCTCGCAAGTTTCCCGCGCCGTGGGGTAAGTCTACCGCGCGGTTGCGGGGATCACATCCTCGCGCCCCGCAGCCTGTCATCTCGCGGCACGGTCGCGGCCCTCGCGGCGTCGCGGGTGGTGGCGGCCGAGTGTGGTTGTGGGGCTGTCCAGAAGCGGCTGGCGCAGCTCGTACCGTATCGGACGAGAATAAAGCATTCCGGTAAAGCTGAAATGCAGGGAACAAGAAGACGGAAGACGTTAAAGCATTGCGATTTCCGTTTTCTTGCTTGCATTCTTCTGCATTTCAGCTTCACCGGAATGCTTCAAATGGACACACCCACAAGGGGGGGGGGGGGCGTAAAATACTACGGTGCGTTATAGACGCGCATTCTCATCATTTCCCATTAGTCTGAGAACGACTAGCAGTTCGAAAATACGACGTCGTATCCCTGTTCCTTTGCCTCCGTGCCCAGTCTTTACTGGTCGTTAGTTATACTGCTATAAGTCACGACTTTATTAACTTTGCCTTTCCCGAACAGGATGGACCAAGTCCCCGACGATGTGCTCTTGATGATTCTTAAGAATGTGGATTTTGCGGACATCCTGTCTTGTCGCCTGGCGTGCAAGAGGCTCGAGGGGCTGGCAAAACATCACGATGTGTGGCGTGAACGACACTTCGACTCCCGCACGGAGAGTGGCCTCGCTTCTTGTGGCGGCAACGACACGTTCTGCAGGTGGACCTGCCCCGTGCTCCGGCAGGCTCCGGTGCTGGAGAGCTTGTTGGTCGCCACTCCAGCGCTGGAGTGCAGCCTGCTATTCACCACTCGGTGTGCCGTTCACGAGCTGCAGATCGAGGTGCGGCCGGGCGGGTCCCTGCACGCGGCCCTGGCGATCCGCCACCAAGAGGCCCTCGGCCGGCTGAGGCATCTCTCTCTCAGCTTTGACCGACCTGACGCCGGAGCCGACGCCTCCATCCTCTTTGAGACTTTGGCGGCCACCTCGGGGTTGGAGACCCTGGAGATCTCCGGGTACCCGACGTGCCTGCCGTCTGCTCTCAGCCCGCACGACTGCACCGTGCCCAGGTCCGCCCTGAGGAGCTTCAGCTGGAATGTGGCCGCCCAGGAGACGGCCCCGCACTACAACCTCGTCCTGGCCAGGCACGCCACCACACTGGAGGAGGTGGGACTCACCTCCTACTGCGCGCTCGGGGCCGTGTTCGCCAGCTCGCCGTCGACGGCCCCCCTCCTCGCCGGCACCGCCAACCTCCGCATCCTGAGCTGCCCGCTGCTGCCGGGGCTGCCTGCCGTGGCGGGGTGCAAGTCCCTGCGGGAGGTGAAGCTCTACGTGATGCCCCAGACGCAGCCCGACCTGCACGGGGCCCGCGAGTTCCTCCGCAGCGCCGACCAGCTCAACAAAGTCACCCTGCAGTACGTGAGGGCCGTCAGCGCCGACGAGGAGGCTGCGCATCTGGTCACTGCTCTGGCCTCGTCTGGACTCTCTAAACTCGAGTGTTTGATAATATGCAATGAAGCTGCTGGTGGTGGAGGAACGGCTTCCGACTTTCCCCAACTGCTGCCGTTGCTGAGCGCGCTGCCCTCCCTGAGTGCCCTGCGTGATCTGGAGGTCAACACCATGATCCCAGATCTGCTGCTCGGCATCACACCCACCACAGCACCAGCGCTGCGTAGCCTCAAGCTTCGAGTGTTTAAATTTGATAGCCTACCCTGCATCCACTCTTGGACTCATACCGATGTGATCAGGAGCCTCCTATTGGCGAACCCGTCGCTAGAGCTCCATCTGCTTTGCCGGCCTAAGTATTGTCCTATTATAAAACCTTGTGTGTTGTGTTCCATGGGCTGCCAGCATCGCCTGTGGACCAGTAAAGACATTAGTACAGAGGAACTAGTGGACGTTATCTGGGTGGTCGTTAGTCAGAAGCATATCGACCATTGAATACCTTGGTTGGTTGTACTAGTTTGTTGATTTTTATGTTTGTTCCCTTGCTAGTAAAAAGGTTCTACGAATGATGTAAGTAGTGTAGTGTCCCCTCTCATGTATCCATGCAGTTTGCTAATTCGCAGCACAAGATAATAAGTTCGGGGAAGAATGCGCGCTGTGCGTTTGTATGTGTGGGGGGAGGGGGGGGATAATCACGAATTTATATTGTTTTTAGTTTGTTTCTTTTAAGAAAACAACGCCAGCTTTTTTTTTAATCTGTCGCATGTAAACGATCTTCCGTTTTCCAAAGATATATGCCATTGACATTCTAAAAACCGTTTATTTTTTTATCATGACTCAAAGACTTCTACCTCACCATACACGCGCAGCGTTGTTACGCGATCGTAAATGATCGGAAATATCGCACCGGCCCCTTTTCAAATGATGCGCGCGGGTCGAGTGTTCTCATCCCGACCCGTCGCGACCGGCCCCGCGGCCCGGAGCGCCCGCGGGTCGCAGGGTAGGCCACCGGCCCCATAGCCCAGGAACATTAGACATTTGACCCCCCCAAAATTCGCAACAGCGGGGAACTTTTAGGGCTTATAGTTGGTGGTCCTGGGAGTACCCCCACGGAGTTCCCCTAAAATCGGCCCATGCGTTCACCCGTGACGGGCGTTCAAAGTCCGCCATTTTGGATTTCTGCACCGTAATGGTTTTCCGGACGTAGCTCCTAAACTATTTATGCTATCGGAGTGGGCAAGTGCTCATGCTGTTCCCCAAACTGAGCGCTACAAAACCATGTGGCCGTATTTTCATGATATTTTGTTTTTCACTTCAAAAATCATGAAAAAAGTCCAAAAACTATTTTTTTGAAAGTTCAACTTTTTCTTTGCGGCTGATTTGTGGGCAAACGCGTAACTGGATCGAAAAATTGTGTCCTCTAAACGTTGTAGAGCGTTTCCTGACAATTCAGAATCACCTATAGATGTTTAAGTTCGCACTCTCCTTCACTGCTAGAAGGGAGCAAACGTACCAAGCGGCAGCGTGTTTTGGGGCTTGTTGGTGACCGGCTCCCATAAGGCTACGTGTATTTTGTAGAGCAGACATCGCTTCTAGCAACGTCTTCTCACTTTGCATGCCTTCTCTGTGTGTCCCAATTAGTAAATTGACAACCCGAACCGATCGGTCCGACGGTCCGCAAGGGTGAAATCAGCCCCTTCAGAATTGTATGCATTTCCCCTAAGGCGCAGATAGGCAATCCGCACGACTTTTGAGGATTTTCTCCTATTTTCGGCTATAAATGACCCGTTTTGTTGTATTGTCGGTAGGGAGGCTATGTAAGTTGGTTCGTCAGGTTCCTATCTAAGTAAAAAAAAATTGCAGCACATAAAATTTTTACTTCAGACGTGCTTTTTGGACTTTGTTCGATTTGCACTAAGATACGGCAATTTCCATCAGACGATTGGCTCTGGTGTATGAGACTGCTGAAGTTAGACGAATGCTAATAATCATCGCCGAGACTTCAACAAACGAA